TGCCTGCCTAAACAAAGCCCCCCCCTCAGTATAATGTAATTAGGAAAATTCCCCCCGACCCACTGTGGCAGAGAAGCCAAAAAAATCCCAAAAGTAAAGCCCTGCCAGCTAAGTCTCAGAGGAACCCCCCCCCCCCAATAAATACTTTTGGAAGGAAAAGGAATGATAGATCCAGCCACCCACAAAATTCCCTGAGAGACACAAGCCTCCCTAAAATGAACTCTTGAAAAATGAACATAAAGGAAAAGAGATTCCACAGTCAGACAATGACAGTTTCCTCACCACCACTGGACCCCACCCCCCAAGCCGCCAGGAAGAAAAAAAGTTTGATTGATTTGATGTTGAAATAAAATCAAGCCCTTCCGAAGAAGTAGCCTAAGATACCCAAAATCCCTCCCCAAATTCCCAGTAAAGTTGATGATGATTGATGAATGATGATGATGAAAAAGAAAAATATAAGTCTGAAAGACTATTTTGTTCCACATGAGCCTGACTGGTTGACCAATGTTTTTGCTTTTACTTCATTTAAAAATGGGAGAAAGGTAGTGTCTAAAATTTTGGAATTATTTTAGCCTTGTGTACTGCCTTTAGTAGGTCTTCCTGGGAAGGACCTTTCTGGACCGGGGTGACTGTCAATCAAACCAGCAGTAACCAATTTTCCTTTCCCTTCCTTTTATAGAGAACCACACTTCTCTGCTTAAGTAACTTTTCCCCTCTCTTTTTAGTCAGTTATGCAGTTAGTGTAGTTAGAATGCAGTCTTCAGGAGTTTGCGGGAAGTAGGTTGTGGGTCTTTTGAAACCTGTTGCTCTAAGCAAGCAGTAATGCTTGTTCAGTATGCTGTTTTTGATCTGTTCAGAACTATAAGAACATGGGACTTTTTTTTTATTATTTCTCTTACCACTATCTCAGAGTGAGTTAGTGAGACTATAAGTACCAGTTGATGAGACAATAAGTAGTGATCTACTCTGAGGAGACCTGAAGGTATTTCTGTTCTGTATGTCCCTGCACTCCTGCTGTGCAGCTAGAGGTTTTTAGCCAAAATTCAGAACTCTGCAATATAAATCACGTAGATACATAACAAGCCATAATGTTTGAAGGGTAAAGGCCTAACATGTGCCAAGGTAACATAGATCAATCTCATGGTTTTAATATTGCCATTGGGGTGGCAATTAATAAGAATTTCTTGTTAGCAATTATTGAACTCATTAATGATTTTCTATGACAGACCTAAATTCTGCCTTAAATGATGCCAGAAGAGATATTCAATATTTTTTTTTTAAAAAAATGAGATATATGAGGGGCATTTTGTTATGTAAAAAAAAAGATCTCTGATTTTGAAGAGTGTGAAACATGGGACACGGAAACATTTCAACTAGAATTAAAGGATGAGTAAACATTTTATGGAACGAATATTACGAACAGTGAGATACAGGAAAACACACAATTCATTGAAGGAGACAGTGTATGAGCACATGACCACTCCTCACTATGAAGTGTTTCCTTTCAAGTGGTCGTTATAACAACTTTTTGACTTAAGAATGTGGGCTTGAATATGCTTGTTTTCTTCGCCAATTCCTTTCTCTTCTTGTGACATGTTTTTACATGTAAGGGACTATTTTGCTTGTTATGAAATCCAAAAATCAAAGAGCAAATTAAAATCTTTGAAATAGTAAATGAATGCATCAGTGCTGATAAAAGAGAAAGTGCCTCTGCTGCAGCTCCAGGACCAGGAAACCCAAGCTGACATGCATTGTAAGAGTGCTGTGTGCCTCGGGGCATTTCCCACACAGTCATCAAACATTTACCAGATTAATTTAGCAGCATGCAATACCATTTTCAGTCACTATGTGGCAGACTTTTCTAGCCACCACATTCAAAGCAATAGTTTCTGTTAAAAGCAGGCGTTTTATAAGAGACTAACTTGCCACAAAGGTACTAGGAAAGGCTGCAGTGAGAGCAGCTGAAACTGCTGAGCACAGAAAGCAAGATGAGCACCAGACAGAATAGGAAAAGCAGCATCCGGGGCAGGTGAGCCTCATCAGGGCAGCAACTCGCAAGACAGAAAACATGCCAAGTTAGCATGTTCTGGAGAGCCATGCTAACCCTCTGGAAGGAAAAGGCATTACCAAATAAATGCCCATCTTAAGAATTTTTCACTGTGATTTCCTGTGAAGCATTTTTGATAGGCACCTCCCTCCTCCGCCAGTGCCTCTGATGACAGCGCTCTCTGCTCACTTCCTCATGTGCTCATAAGATACCTTGTCTAGGCCTGACACAGAGACCTCTGGTAAGTCTTGTTCTCTACTTTGTCCCACCTGAAAATGCTGTTTTGTCCTTTAATGCTTATTGCCATCCTCTCCCGTTATGCTCTCCTTCCCCATGTAAGCCTTCCTACATAGTGGGGAGAGTATGAGTAACGGGGAACAGAGGGTGTCGAGTGGGTAGTGGTGGTCACCTCAAGTACCCTACTGCTTGTGACAACCACTTCCAGATAGTGGCCAGCCCAGCACTGCTTGCTCTACACCTAGCCAGGTGCTGAGAACATTTTCAGAATAGCTGTGGAAGAGGGGCTACAGCAGAGGAGGCCCTGGGGGGTGAGGGGGGGGCAACTGATAGTCCACTTGTGGTGTGCCCTCTCCAGACTCAACCAGCTCCTACCATTGTTGTCAGGTGAAGGGCATTTTATATCAGTGCTAGACAGATTTTCCTAGGCTCCTTTTATTTTCAGTATTATTTTATTTTTCCAGGATTATAAATTAACATTAAGCTGTTTTTTCCCTCATTGTGATTTGTGCCTTACGCTACATTATACCAGTATTATTTCTTTTGCTGCTGTTGAATTTTAAATTGTTCTGTGACTTGTGATGAACTACAGTGGGGTCTCGACTTACGAAACCAGCATTATTTCTTTTGCTGCTGTTGAATTTTAAATTGTTCTGTTACTTGTGATGAACTATCTAAAGAACTCTGTGGTAAAGGGGCTTATAAAAACTCTTAATAATTATATAATACCAAATAAAATCTTCAGTCTTCCATGATCTAAGCAAATTTCTAGGCTTCAGGAAATGCCAGCATTTTTAAATTGGGGGGGAGGGGCACATAGGTTTAGATACATTTCAAGTATATTCACAGAAATGTAAGCAGTTTAAGTTAACATAGGAATCTCAGAATTTCATATACTAGATCTTCTTTTAAGTCAAAATGGGTCAGGCTAGAAGTAATATCATAAAATTGCTTTTTGTTGATCAACATTGGATGTGTCATTGGCATTTTCTTTTTTAAAAACTGGCACAAATTACCTGTTAGCAATATTCCTGCTAGTGGTTTATATTCATCCCTCTATAGTTCCAGGAAGTGAACTTGCCTGCTGCAAACACAACCTTGTGATGATGGATGAGACAAGCTCTCCTGCTGTTGCAGGCAGGAGCAAGGTCCTCATGCTGCCTGGCCCTGGAGAGGAAAGCCGCCTGCCTTGGGCAGGAGGGCCTCCCTATGCTTCCATGCATGCACAACCACTGGAGAAAGAGGAAGCAGATGGTGATAGTGTGGTAAATCACTGTTCTCCCTTCAACTCTTAAGAGTCCTCTTGAGGTTCAAACAGAATGGTGGGAAGAGGTATCCAGAGAAATCACCTGAAATTGTGGCTAAGTCTTTTTCTTTGGGCTCCCCAACCCAAGTCCTAGAAGCTGGGTGAAACAAAATTTTTAAAGCCTATTCCAACAACAGTCACTTCACTGTCTCCTCCTCCTCCTCTGGGGGAAGTGCAGAGCAGCAGCCATTTCCAAAGGAAGGTAATTGGACACCTCCCTCTGTGGAGTTCAGTGACACAATGGAACATGAGAGATGCTGGCAGGAGGAAGCTACCCATTAGCCGCCACAGGGCTCCACCATTTGAAGTGATCACTTCAGTGCCAGGGCCAGCACTGGGTGTAATGTAGAACTGTTGTGTGTTTTGAGATTCTAAGCAGACTTTCAGCTTCTGAGTCTTTTACATTGCCTCACTTTTAAAGGATCCTCATATCTTAGAATTTGTGAAAAATTTAAAAGATGGGGAAAAAACACGACAAATTACAGTATTGTGGTGTGTTTAAACCTGGGCAAAACTCAGGAATTTTGTGCATTTTTTTTAACTAATTCCATCTAGTAGATAATTCATCTACTTTTTTTGAGTAGTGCCTATAGATATAGGCTATTTACATTTAAAGCAGATTTATCTGTGTGTAACTTAAGTGGAATAATTAGTATTTGGTCAATGCAGGCAGGCAACAAATTGTTGTGTAATAGCTTCTTTGAATATATTCATAGAAACTCTAACTACAGTATTCCACTAATTTATTGTTCTACAGCTTTGCTATACAGTAGGACCGCCATATCTGGGGGGGATTGGTTCCAAGCCTCCCCATGGCTGCTGAAATCCACAGATAATAGTGAATGCTATACATAGCATGGTGAAAGAAAAGTCCAGAAAAAGTAGTTTCACCATGTATTACCAGAACTGGTCACGCCACAGATAATAGTGAATACTATACATAGCATGGAGAAAGAAAGAAAAGTCCAGAAAAAGTAGTTTCACCATGTATTACCAGAACTGGTCACTAGAGGGACCCAGAGACCTTGCTATGTATTTCACCAACAAGAATTTATAGTGACCTCCACCTCCTTCTAGTGGCCACTTCTGGCAAATGCATCATGCAAATGTATATTTCTAGGTTTTTTATTTTAATATTTTCCGACCACAGATAAGTGAAACTGTGGATACCGATCCTGCAGATATGGGGATCCTAATGTACAATCCTTCAAATTCAGCTCTCCATTAATTCCAGTTTAAGCAGAGTAATTTTTCTCATTAACCCCTGAACTGGAATACATACGAACATCTTAGCCCAAGGTTCATTCTGTTCACTTGCATCCTTGTTGTTCTCTCTGTTGTGGATGCATATGTGCCCAGTGATAAGACACTGGAGAAATGTGAAAGTTTTGCAGTCGTATGTCTGCATTGTGATTCTTTCTGTTTGGAATGAAGAGTGCTGCAAACTAAAGGAGCTAGGGTACAGGATGTTTACACAGGAAACACATATATCACATGAGACAGTTTGTCCATCTTGACCACTTTTTCTAATCTGAACAACACTGAGATCTGTGGTTTCAAACAGAAGAAACATGGTATCAGCTGAGCTCTTTTGACATTTCAAAACAGAGATGCTAGGGATTGAGCCTGAGTCCTTCTACATTGAAAGGGTGTATTCTGGAAAGGGCAGACAAATTGTTAAGAGTTTTGGAGCACTTTCCAAATCTAAAAAGCCTACAGTTTTTGGATCAGACAGAGAAAAAAATGAGTGACGTATTATAGAATCAGGCATCTTGTAAAGAGAATGGCAATAAAGACCTGTTCCTTTTATAATATTAAAAATATTTGCAGGCAGTAGATTCAGTACTGACAAAATTCAGGTGTTGTATATCTGTTTGAAGACACCATTGATAGAGGGAACCACTCTGGCTCCACGTCCTCCTTCTGGTTTTGTCACCATCTTATGGGTCACAAGAACCCATGGTTATAGAAAAGGGGAGGCATATCCTGCCGACGTCCTGACTCATATGGGAGCTCCCCACAGATAGCGAAAGCTCCTTGCATTTCCAGACTTGTTGCTTCCTACATGTCGGACAGAAACACAGGCTAGAGTGTTCCCCTTGTATCTGCGCTGAATGTAAACAGATATGTAATCCCTGAATAGGGCTAAAAAAGGAGAATTATTTTGAAGGATAGGTAATCATTTTGTGGAGCTTTGTTTCAAAACACACAGTTATGGTCTCTTCTGCTTTTTGTCGGCTACCCTAATATTTGTATTTTATTCTCCACTGTGCTTCCAAATTCGTAGAGCTTTGTTTCTGTTTTTCTCCGAAGTACATTCTCTTGTGTTAAATGTTTGGAAAGTGCCAACGCAATCTAGCAAAATATTTTAGAGACACACAGGAGAAACACTTTTTCAAACAGCGCATTCCAAATCTTTAAGAATGGGGTAGCTTTTTTACAAGTATAGACGACTGACCACCAAAATACAAGGTAGCGTTTTTCTGCCACCAGGGGGTGCTGCAGGAATTCACAATCAGATGTTTCCTTGCAGAAAGCAAGTAGAACTAGCTATCCAATTATGAAATAATATTAATATTAATAATAATCACAATCAAAGGAAAAATTACAACTATCCTGAACTATAAAGAATGTGAACAGGCACAGACAATATTAACTGAGTATCTTCTGTGTTTAAATTAGCTAAACAATTGTGCAAAAGAATAATTTCAGACACAATTATCTGGTTCGCATTCTGCTTCTTCTTGCAGGCTTGGGCAGGGAGTCCCATTATTGGCAGGCTGAAGGCGTACATACCGAGTTCTTGTTTTGCTCCCTAAACGCCCACACTTTCCTTTACAAAGGCCCCAAGGAGACCAGAGGGAGATCTCACAGTCCAACGGAGTTTCTGCAACACAGAAACATCGGAGGAAAATGTGTTCAGATGTAGCGTTGCTAATGCAACCAAAATGTACAGATTATTTGTATACAGTAAATTATATTACTTGATGCAAAGTTAACTACTCCAAAGCAACATAAATTTTTTTTCAAACAGCAGCCAGCCATTGAAAAGCTTGAGAGAGTAAAAAATATCAGAGGTCATAAAGTTTGTAAACATTTGGATCCAACCGCAATGAATTGCTCATTATCTGCGGCAAATAGAAAGGCTTTCATGCTGAAAAAAAGACATACAATCTGGCACTGGAAAAAACTCCACAGGCTAAAGGTTCCCACAGACTGGGTACAACTACTGAAAGTGCCGTCTCATTTTTTCCATTCTTTGTTTTAGTATTTTAGCTACTGGTGCCATATAATTGTTGCTTAGCACTTGTTTAACTGTGCGCTAGAGATGGGCTCGGACTGAGCCCCGAACCAGAAAAGCTGATGAACCAGGCTGGTTTGTGGTTTGGTTCATGATTCTGTTTGGGGATCCTGTTTTGCCAATGCAAAAAGTGGTTTGGTTCATGATTCCGTTTGGGGATCCTGTTTTGCCAATGCAAAATGAAACACCAATTTCTTTTTCCAGTTTGGTATTTCACTTGTTTCAGCAAAAAGGGATGCCCACCTGCCTGACCCCTTCCCACGGACCCTGCCTGCTCCCACTCTTGCTGCCTTGCTCCCGCCGCCACTGCCTCTGCCCCGGGTGCCAAGCTCTAAGGCAGCAACCAGACTTTTTTCCAGTTTGGTATTTCATTTCTTTCAGCAAAAAAAAATAAATAAATAAAATAAAAAGGGATGCCCACCTGCCCGGCCCCTTCCCACGGACCCTGCCTGCTCCCGCTCTTGCTGCGTTGCTGCCGCCGCCACCACCACTGCCTCTGCCCGGGGTGCCAAGCTCTAAGGCAGCAACCAGACTCCTTGCAGAGAAGCTGGCCATTGACTCTGAGCCTGCTCCTGCATCCCAGCTAATGAGGGTGATCAGCTGGGAGGCAGGTGCATGCTGAGAGGCAACAAGGAGCCCGGTCGCTGCCTTGAAGCATGGCGCCCATGGGAGGCAATGGTGGTGGCACCACCAGAGCAGGTAGCCCCTCTTCTCACTAGGACCGAACAGAAAACTGAATCACAAATGGTCCCATTTGCCGGTTGGTTTCTAGTATGTCATAGTTCATGGCTAACCATGGGCCATGAACCATCACAAACCACCATTTTCCAGGTCTGCGCCCATCTCTACTGCACACCATCTTGAAAACACTTTTTTTAAAAAAAGGAAGATATAGGTCTTTAATGTAAAGAAAAGAAAACTTCAGATGGTCCAACCCAAAGAAGGCATGCAAAGATTATTTTAGCCTTGTACAGATACCTGTGGGAAATCTTTCTGATTATTGGGCCTCCAGGTCATACGTGGCTTGAAAATGTCAAAAGTCTGTGCCAGTGGGTTTCTTCAGGTGCTAGCAAGATGTATTCCATTTGGATAGTTCCAAATAGCAATTAGTTCAATTTAGCTGAGATTTCCGAGGGGTGGTTTCATATGCAATCCTGCAGTAGTCTAATCCACACATGGCTCATGAGTGCCAGACAACCTCTGTCCAGGTTGGACGACCAGCTGTAGCTGCTGGGTGGTGTTTCATTTTAAATATGATATGGTTGTCCCACAACAAGGTCAGATTGTAACAGGAGCTCCAAATTGCAAGCCCAGTCCTTTAAACCAGCCATTCTCTATGTTTTTTTGGTCATGGCCATAAACACAACATGAAAGAAACATAGGCTGAATCAGGCTATAAATTGCATAGCAAATCTTATCAGATGGTGTGTGAAAAATTGTTCCTAGTCTGTGGCCTCCTTTAAATTTCGCAGCACCCCCCAGGGGACCACATGCCCACTATTGACAATGACTGCCTTGAACAGATAGTCATAGATCAATCAGACAAGACTGCTCTCAGTTGGCCAGGCCTTAGTCTTCATAAGACTCACTGCCATGTAATATTTCTTACTGATCAGTAAAACAGTCTAAATTTTGTCAGGGATGGGATTTTCAGACAGAATTTGTTGATAAAGCTGTTTGCTTCTATCATGTGTGTGTGTGTGTGTTGTTGTTGTTGTGTTGATAAAGCTGTTTACTTCTATCATGTGTTGTTGTTGTTGTTGTTGTTGTTTAGCTGTTAACTCATGTCTGACTCTTCATGATCTCATAGACCACAGCACACCAGGGACTCCTGTCATCCACTGCCTCCCAGAGTTTGGTCAAATTCATGTTCTTGGCTTCAATGACACTGTCCAACCATCTCGTCCTCTGTTGTCCCCTTCTCCTCTTGCCCTCACACTTTCCAACATCAAGGTCTTTTCCAGGGAGTCTTCTCTTCTCATGAGATGGCCAAAGTATTGGAGCCTCAGCTTCAGGATCTGTCCTTCCAGTGAGCACTC